CCTCCCATTACGTAGACAGGCAGTTCGCAGACGCCTTAAAACAACAACATTTACGGTTCAATGAACAGATTAGCTACTACCTGTTACCTACACATTACAATGGAATAGTCCAAATAAATACACAAGAAAAAACTGGAGCTATATTATTTACTTTGACAGATAGCCGAAAAGACATTGATTTGAATTTTGATTGTTGCAATATGAAAACGGTTGATTTTCATATACTGTATGTGGGTTTAACCTTCTAGTCTAGTGGGAGTTGGCGGCATCATATTGTAAACATTGTCAAAAAGACATAAAACATGATTAGAGCATTTCGGAAATTAAAGTTTCTACTAAAAAGAACAACAGCAGTTTTTCTTCAGGATTTACTCCCACCTGTAGTAGGCAAATAAATTTAATCTTATATCCACGTGAAAGAAAAATGTCCACATTAAAATTATTCATATTGAATAAGGTAGTTACATGTTTTGTACACACGATTCAGATGTATGATGAGTACACTTAATTATGATTTATTTAGAAATCATATATTTGGTAAAGCTGTTATTTGTCTACACAAACGACGGTGGTTTATAGGCATAACACTTGTCTAGGTTTGTGCCTGAGTGAGTGAATTACAATGAGTATGGATTTACGCTGCTTTTAGCAATATTCTAGCAATGACACGGCGCGGACACCATGGGCTCTACACACTGTTACAGTGTACCCATGTAAGAAATCAAACCGTATAAGCTGACGAGAGAGTAATTTAACCACCAGACAAACTCCACTGCCCCCTTATCGCTACAGCTACAGTGGTTCACATAGGCTGGGAATACGACAGCTTACATGAGCGTATTAAGTCGGTCAGCCCCATACATTGTGATGTCATCGCCTCACGTCTTAAACGACCCAGCGTTTACTATGTAAACAGTATAAACAGAACGCATGCTGCACTACACACGTTCGTATCCCCCACGTATCTGATAAAGAAGATACTATTATATTTTCGGGTTTGGGGGATGGATATGGATGGATGGGATTGGGTCTGTGTGGGGTTTGTTTAGTGAGGGTTTTCTGTAACATAGTAATCAAGCCTCTGTATCTATTTTACTGACAAATAATTACATGTGCCTCGCATTATATCAAACATATTGTGTCCTTATCTGAGCCTATGTAAAGCGTCCAAGGACTGCAGTATTTTTAATTTATTTGTTTAAAGTATAAATATTTGACGATCTGTTTGTGCTGTTAAACTGAGTTCCTAAGCGTTAAAAACATACGCTTAACCCAAATCTGAAATCAGATGGAAGCTCCCTAAAATGTAAGTTTTCAGCCACAAGTTTTGTCCAAACCTATGGATATAGCTCGCTGAACATGCTGAAAATACATGTGTTGCTGCTCCCAAAACAACTGAATGGAGTCTTTCAGAAAATTGTATTTTGACCAAATCAAATATTGTTCCATGTAGAATAATCCTGGACAAGTTAGCACAAATACAATGTAGTGAAGTTGGCAATACCAATGTTCCCAATCAAGTAACAAGACATGGTGTCTGAAACTAACACACGCCTTGACTATGTCCCAAAATATGTCAGAATCACACCAATGGTGATATTTGTCAATGACCTCAATTACAACGAGACCCAAGTGGATATAAGCCCAAATATGTCACAAATGATGCCTTTACTCACTTACCGTGATTCAACTGGAACTCTTTCCAAAGCGGCGTTAAGTCCAATTAAAGAGAACAATGTACGTGAATAACTCCAAGAGGCGTCCTTGGTATGTGAACAAGGATGTTCAAGGTCTTTAGATACAAGTGTCACCTGCTTTCACTGCAGAGATGGTTTCGTCGCTTTAGAAATACCGACCAATACATATGCTTTATAGTACATTCCCCTTCAGGACTCAATGAGTGTGACAAACACCCATCCATTATACATATGTTCTTGAGGAGTTGTATGTGTGGCCCGTTGCTCTTCGTTGCATTTTGGCCTTCCCAGTGACAAGACACGACAGAAGAAAAGCATCTTTAATTATCAAACACAGCTACGACATGAATGACATCTACTCTATTCATCAACTTTGAAAGTGCGTCATAATATTTGATAAGAGAAGCTGGTGCATTGAACTTTTCCTTTGCACTGGAAAGACATCAAATTATGATGTTGGTGATGAGCATCTAATAGTTTGCTAAGTGATAGGTGAATGCTTCTGAACGTTCGTCGTATTATGTGTGTGTGTATCCCTTTCCTTTGTTTGATCTTAACCTGCCACTGTACCTATTTATTATGTATCTCACTGTTATTAACTCCTGTCAAACAGAAGTTTTTACTTCCATGACTCAGAGACAGTGAGATGATAGATGAAACCTACGTTTATCAAGAAAAATATGAGCTTGTAAAACATTATTGCTATCACATGTCATTCACCATTTGGAAGGTCTAATCCTACTGCTAATACATTTTAAAGCTATATTTAACATATTATTTAAATAATACAACTTGAATATGTTTATTGTTAATGAAAATGCAATCTTACACATTCATAATGTTCAGACAAACCATAGAGAAAGCTAAAACTGAGGCGATGTTTGCCAATTGTAGGATTCGTAATATCCCCTTACCCCTTTCTTTAATATTTTCACGTTTACTTAATCGGATGGTCACTTAATTTTTTCAGAAATATTTTTTAATGATATGTATGGTAGCCTATTTTCCGATAACAGTGGCTTTGCCGCTCGATATCATGAGACAACACCGGGAAATACCCCCGCTTTTGAAGTGTTGTGTGAAGATTCGTTTGGATTCGGGTATCTTTCGAAAACTCTGAACATCAACAATATTACCGCAACGTTGCCAGGAGTATTTGTGCAGTCGTCGCGAGCAATTGTATTGGATAAGACCTGGGCCTAGATTTTCGAAGCTCTCTTAGCGCTAAGACAGTCGTAAGTTGATGTCAATGTATGGCACTTACGACTATCTTAGCGCTAAGACAGCTTCGAAAATCTAGGCCCTGAGGTTTGGTTTCTAATGCCGCAATCTGCGATATGATCGTGATTTGTCCAAATAAAGCACTTTTTGGTTTTGTTGTTGTTTTAACGCCGCACTCAGCAATATTCCAGATATATGGCGGCGGTCTGGACCAGACAATCCAGTTATCAACAGCATGAGCATTGATCTTCGCAACTGGAATACGATGAGCCTTTGAGCCTAACCACCCGATCCCGTAAGTCGCCTCTTTCGACAAGCATGGGTTAGGTTGTAGAAGATCAATTCTAAGCCTAATTCTGATATAAGGGAGACAATCACGTTACAGTACCACATACCGTCCTCGTGTGCGATCACTTTCAGATTGAGATTAAATTTCTGTTGTAAAACCGTGTTATTCTGAACGTTTTAGATAGGAAGTGCGATATCATGGACGTATTGTACCAGGCTGCCGAGATGTCATTTGACCCATATTACACGATGAAAATAGGAACTGATTAAAAAAAAAAAAAAATAGATTTATTCGAAACATCTGTATTTTGCTGTTTCACAATTCCGATATGAACAAGTTGCCGAAACGTGTGTACGGGACCTTTTTCAGTTACATTAAGGATAATCCTTGATAATTAAATTTGGAATTGAAATGTAATACACGTTTTCTGACATTGTGAAGAGTGATAGATTTAATAAATGAGTCTTATGACAGGTAGGTTTCTAAAAATATATATTATCATTTTGATGTGTCAACGGCCTGGGCGGTTATCCGGCCTCAGGTGTCTGGGGACTTATGACGTCTAGGCCGGTTTTAATGCCTGCGGTGTTGAAAGGGTTAAATTACAAACACGTCTTCACCCGAGCATGGGGAAAGTGGGCCATTGTCTGTGCTGGTTGCAAGTATAGGTTCCTGAAAAAAGTTCTTACCCGGATCTTCAGGGGTTTAGTTTGGTTCTCTGCTTTCTTCCTTCGACTAGAGGGCGGTGGGGCAGCCTAGTGGATGAAGCGTTCGCTCGTCACGCCGAAGGCTAGCGTTCGATTCCTCACATGGGTACAATTTGTGAAGCCTATTTCTGGTGTCGCCTGCCCTGATATTGCTGGGATAGTGCTAAAGGCTGCGTAAAACCATACTCACTCACTCACTCCTTCGACTAGCTTTGTATGAAATATAGTTAATAGTGCTATTGAGCGCAAATTAAAAGATATCTATTTATTTACTGATCTATCCATCCATCCATCGATCCATCCATCGTTCGTTCGTTCGTTCGTTTATGTCTGGTCCCTTGCAACCCACAGGCTTGTCTTACGAAGCAGTTTCACGGACAGAGTGCTCGGCTCAGTGACTCGGTTGACAGGATGTCAACATGTTCTGTTGGTGTGAATCGTTGCTCGTCATATCAACCCCTGGATTTTCGGACAAGATTTACTTACATACCGCCGTCATAAAGCAACATATTGCCGAATGTGGCATCGCCTCTAACGTCAGTCAGCGAGCAAAAAATAAAAGCACAACAGGATAGTACATCAGTACATGTGTGAGTGTGTGGTCCTGTTCATAGAACTCAAATCACAAATCAGTTGAAGTTAAACAGCGCTGGTCGCGGAGAGTCCTTGGATGGGTGACAGTGTTTGGCAGCTGGATTCCTGAGATTTTCTAGGACTTCAGTCCTGCCCCACAACGAAGCACATGTGATACATGTGGCCACACCTTAGGCAGGTGAGTTTGTTCAAAATTGCCTCTATTCACGCAGTAGTAAATGGGTACCCGGTGGGATAAGTCATTTGACTATTAACCTTCTAGCGCCTCACAGGCAGCATGGGTTTAAGAATATGTCTGCGCTATGAGCATGCTGTCGGTGTGAGTTTAGCGCAATATAAATGGTCTAAGTAATTACATACGTACAACATGCACTATTGTAGTCGCTGATATTTGTTGTATATATAAAATCAGAGTGACCTTAGAAACGCGTCACTCTTATCTCCACGTTCCAACGACATAAATACAGATCGCTAATCTGGACAGAAATATTCCAGTTGTTATGAAAAGGTCATCCTGCATACGTAGACCCACGATTCACATACATGTCTGCCCTGGGGATCCTCCGAGCCCTTGCTGTACTGGGCGTGTTCACGTCCCTACACGCTTCTCAGCGCCCAAACATCGTGTTCATTCTAACCGATGACCAGGATGTTGAACTCAATGGACAGGTACAGTGAGTGAGTGAGTGAGTTTTGTTTAACGCCGCTTTTAGCAATATTCCAGCAATATCACGGCGAGGGACACTAGAAATGGGCTTCAACAGGTACAGTGAACTATGGTTGTTACGAACTCAAAGAGCCCATGAAATCTAAATCGTTTAGACCGAACGTAGTTTGTCTAAAGTACACAAGTGTCCATGACAATCCCCTACAATTCAGTTCGTAATACCCGTCAGCTCGGTATAAGCGTGTTTGTTTTAAACGCAGTTTACTGTGATGTTGTAGTTAATGACCCTGACAGTGTCTGATCTTTGTTTGCTATTTTTTCATCTTGATTTAATTATTATAATAAACCCTGTAAAGATCCGGGTTAGAATTGATCTTCAGTAAACCATGCTTGTCGTAAGAGGCGACTGACGGGATCGGGTGGTCAGGCTCACTGACACATGCCAGCATATCCCAATTGCGTTGATCGATGTTCATGCTGTTGATCACTGAATTGTCTGGTCCAGACTCGATCATATACAGACCGCCGCCATATGGCTGGAATATTGCTGAGTGCGGCGTTAAACAACAAACAAAAGAAACATATAATAATAGATAAATAAAAATATATCTAAATTATAAAGGTTCATGAATAGAACTGACACCTCCTGAAGAAGTTAATTATTAGAATTAATTTTCCGCAACTTAGTTTATGTAAGTTCATATAACATCGCATATTTACCATTCTGTCTGCTGGACACGAGGTCTACAGCAACCCATGCTTGTCGTAAGCGGCGACTAACGAGATCGGGTGTTCAGGCGTGCTGACTTGGTTGACACATGTCATCGTATCCCAACTGCGTAGAAGGATGCTCATGCTGTTAATCACTGGATCGTCTGGCCCAGACTCGATAATTTAATATCTAAATTGCAAATACCGATGCTCATGATGTCAGAAACTGAATTACCTGGTCCAAACTCGATCACTTACAGAACTTTGTGAACAACAAAGAAAGGACCGAAGAGGGAGTGTCACCTTGAGGAATGCCCAACATGAAGCAGACAGTAGTCAAAACCAAGAACTCGGTTATCTCACTAGACAGACCTTAGACGAATTGCGGCATAAAAATCGTGAATATTTTTTTCAGGATCCTATCCTCAAAACACGGGAACTGATCGGTGCCAGTGGTATGACATTCACAAACATGGTAAGAAACCTTGCTAACATATTGGCAATTGTGAAACCTCTTTATTCTGGAATATTATTCATTATGGACACCTTCACCAACGGGGTAGCCTAGTAGCTAAAGGGTTCGCTCGTCATGCCGAAGACCCGGGTTCGATTCCCCACATGGGTACAATGTGTGAAGCCCATTTCTGGTGTCCCCCGTCGTGATGTTACTGGAATGTTGCTAAAAGCGGCGTAAAACAAACCTCACTCACTAAAACGGACACTGTCATTAGCGTATTGTATTGTCACTGTTGCCTCGATTCATTACTTGACTTAACTACTGATTAAAATGCCGTCAACCTCACACATTTATAAGAGAAGCCTCACAACACCGCTCGCATGTTTTTATGTTGTGATTACTTCGTTTAATTCTTTTCTGGCGGATCATATTTATGTGTATCGAAAGCATAAAGTTATGCAAGTGTTGCACGTTTAGCTAAACCCATAATGAAGGGTATGATCCAGAAAAATAATCAGGTCGAACGGGGATTCGGACCGACAGCCAAAGGGTCCCGGCATGTCTCTGGTACCCAACTTTAGGGAGGGTATTCCAGAATCTCCTGGACAACTGTGTCACTCGTATCAGCGTTCTAGGTGAATTTGCATCACAGTGAAGACACAATGTTATTATTTTATGTAAAGTTTATCGCCTGGAATTGAACATCAGGCTTCTGACATTACGACTGAGGCACTCCGGTTAACTATACTGGACAAAATAAGTTAGGATATTGGTATTTTTATTATTGACATTTTATCAGTGTGTCAATGAATAAATAGATCGGTATTCATAATTTCAAAAATAACATACATCCCTAACTATTTTTGTCGAGTATATTTAGAAATTGAGTATTGTGTTCACCAAAGGGGACCAAAACGACTGTAAACTCATAATTTGGGGCTGTTGTCGTTGGATGAAGCTCGACTGAAAATTCTGAAACTGGTTAATTGAAGCGCGACTAGAAAAGTCGAAGAATGTAAGGAGTGAGTGTTGTCGAGGGTGTGAAGGTGCAACTAGATGCAGCTAGATGGTGTTTGTCGTCAAGCGGACGCTGGTTTAAACTTGACCAAACTTTGTCGTCTAAGATCTGCCTCGCCTGTCATTACGATCTTAAATGTTTTATATATATTTAAATTGTGACTTAAAGTATTACACAAACATTGATTTTTTTTACATGTTGGGCTATTTGGATATCAAGATTGTACACTCTTCATATTATATATAATTCATACAACGATGAAATTTTGCATGATCATATTCACATGTTTTGTATATATTGTGATATAAGACATTAGTCACTATACAGTTCCGTCTACAAGTGGTATGGATCAGTACCCGGTGTGCTGTTATCATTGCTCTAATCAGTCTACGGTTTCTGTCCTGTGAAAGTGTCCACATAATCTTATTTACAACGAATTGGCCATTGAAGCAAGTATACAAGTCTCTTGAGTACGGATGCGCTGTTATAACAGCTCTGATCATCCTTGGCACAGACTGAAAAAGGTCTTCGGTTTCTGTCCTGTGAAAGGGTCCAGCCAATCTTATCTATATCGAATTGGCCAGAGATGCAAGTATAGCTTATGAGTGTTTTTGCGAGATACAAATTGTTCAACGAACACCGTATCACGGAAACACTGTAAACATTCTTGCCGTTGGTTTTACAAAGGTATATTGTTGATGTTTATCATTGAATTACATCCTGTTTCAAAGACCACACACAGGTGCTTTTATATCAAACTCAACATAGAACATTTTTACTAACTTTTTTTCGGGTGTGGTTCAAGGCTTCCTGAGCACCTGGCTGTGAGTCACGCAATGAACTCTGCTTTTAGCTGGTGTATCTCTTGACTGTGAATAGCTATAGGTTGTCTGCAGAGTGAAGTAGTGCTGTAACAATGCATCGAACTATCGATGCATTGCAATTGTTGAGTCTCCGATAGCAATTAATCGATGGTAGAAACGAAAAACTATCCATGCATCGATAGTATGTGTGGCTATCGATAGTTTAGTGATTGACTTTAGTTGATCAATGCGCAGCGCAAAAACAGGATGTTTGGGTGCAGACTTGCAGCATCATTGAGTTTATGTTTTAACTGTTTACTTCATCTGGGTTTCAAGTTTCTTGTGACTCATTAAAAGAGTCTGAAACTATTTCAACTTGTTTTTATTTCATATAAACTATACATTCATTTGGGAAATGACTTCAAAGGCCACAATTCAGGAGAAAAAAACCTTTTGCAATAGTATTGCAATAGTGGGTCGCAATAGACTATCGCTATCGCAATAGTTGTTTCCCCCTCAATAGTCACCCCAAGAGTGAAATGACCAATACAAAGATTGATAAATCTGGTTAGAGCATGCCCTTACTTGCTCTAACAGGTGTCCTGTATACAACCTCAATGCCATAAACTCTGCTTTCAGAGGATTTCTATGGGGGTTTGTTCCCTTTGTTGTCCAGGAATAAGACATAAGCTATCTGCATAGTGAAATGAACAATACGAAGATTGATAAATGCGGTTAGCGCATGCCGTTACATGCTCTAACGTGTTGGCATTCTGTTTAAAACTTCACAATGAGTTAATAGAAAAATGCCATAATTGTCGTCGACAAGGAAGTAAGTCATGTTTGTGACATAAGGGACCGTTCATAATTTATGGCAAGGGGGGTTGAAGATGATTTTTATTCAGAAGCAAGTACAATGTCCCTAAGCAAATATATACTCTCCCAAAAAAGAAACGCATCATGAAACTAGCAATTTCATGTAGCAATGAATTAAAACGTGATTCATTTTACAAAAGGTTTTGCTCTGTTTATGAGTCCTTTGATGTTTATGTTTTGAAACATCACAAAAAAACGCACCATCCGTAAAATACCCTTATTTAACAGCATGATTTTCAATTTCGGCGTGTAGTGTCACAGAATACACAATTCACATGCAATGCACGTGAAAGTTGGGGATCAGATAGTCTCAATGATGGGCATAAAAGGTTGATCGCTGTCTGTCGATTCTTCACTGTATTTGGAATATTGTTTACGAACGCAAAATGCCACGTCTAAGTGAAGCCAAACGTAATATCGCCATTGGTTTGCTCGAAGCTGGCCAGTCTCAACGTGCAGTTGCCCGACGCATGAATGTTCACTAAAGCACCATTTCATGAATCTGGAAGAGATATCGCCGGCAGAATGCGGTAGCAGATGCCCATCGTAGTGGGCGACCTCGAGCGACCACTACGGCGCAGGATCGCTACATCCGGGTACATCACCTGCGTCATCGAACAGCTACGGCGACCAGTACCGCTCGACAAATACCCGGATTGAGGAGGCTTTCTGCACAGACCGTCAGAAACAGGTTGAGAGAGGCTGGTTTACGTGCCAGAAGACCTTATTTTGGCCCTGTGTTTTGACAACAACATCGTTGACATCGAGTTCAATGGTGCACCAACGTTCAGGCCTGGAACCTACCGAATTGGCGTAGAATCTGGTTCAGTGATGAATCACGATTTCTATTGGAACGACGCGATGGAAGAATGCGGGTGTACAGACGTCGACGTGAACGTGTCGCCTACACGCTTGCGTTCCCCAGGTGGACAGATTCGGTCGGGGAGTGTTATGATGTGGGGAGAGATCACCTGCCGTAGGAGAAGTGATTTGGTGATGATCCAGGGCAATCTGACAGCTCAACGGTACTGTGACGAAATCCTACGCCCACACCTCCTTCCAAACATTGATCGCCAGAGGGAGTTGTTTCAACAGGACAATGCCAGGCCCCACACAGCACGTCACACTAGAGACTTCCTCCAGAACCACAACATCAATGTGCTCCCCTGGCCCTCAAGATCACCGGACTTAAACCCGATCGAACATCTGTGGGATGCCCTGGACAGACGGGTGCGACGCCGTAACCCTCAGCCCCAGACACTTCAGCAACTCGCACAGGAACTACAGGCAGAGTGGGCTGCGATTGGGCAACATGGGATTCTGAGACTTATTCGTACGATGCCGAGGCGATGCCGTGCAGTTCTGGATGCCCACGATGGTCACACGAGGTATTGACTTCAGCGCCACCACACGTCTCCATGTGCCACTCAAACTGACTTTCCTCGAGTTGGTGCCAAAGACGGATGAGTCTGCATTCCCAGTGTGCAATTTCGCTATATTTCATTGACTCATAAAAGCCTACAAGATGTTTCAAAATAAACATAAAAATACAGTTGAAATTCCAAAATGCGTTTCTTTTTGGGAGAGTATATATAGTTCTTGTAACAGCATAGTACACGTACTTCAACTAGACATATCAAAGGACATGGTTCCAACAGCTCCAGCCTTTGGTGTTTACTTTCACAACTTTTACAGTATAATCTAGCGTGCTCAGGATTTTAAAGAGTGTCATACCGCTCTTGCTCAGAAGTTGTTTAATCAAGGTTACAACATCCAAGTCCTCAGTAAAGCTTCCAAGAAGTTTTATGGTAGACATGTCGAGGACATATTTGCATCAGTGACAAGCATGTTGTCCGATGCAGTTCTCTATTTTGACTTATACCAAACGTTCCCGAATTATTTCAGGCGCACAGTTGTCTAAACACATGCTGTGTAATCGCATGACGCGATTTGTTTACAAACAACATCATACAATTGTAATACTGATGAAACAAATATATACTCATGATATAATCACGCTTGTACAATCGACTCTGCATTAAGCAGAAATTTCTTATGGATGTGGAAAAGGTTTTGTCGCTTCCATTACGAAATTAGCAAAACGTTTTAGAAAGTATCCAAATTGTCTGATTTCGTAATATGAATTAAAACTTTATTAATTTGAACCCATACATTAATTGACTTAATACAAGTGTGAGTTTTGGTATCGCCCTTAAAATCTTTCGAAACCGTTTCTCAGGATTCTGTTTTCATACTTTCAAGTCAAGTGCCAAGTGTGTTTATTCGTAAGACGGCCATAGGTCTATACGGCATTGATTTACACTGATTTCTGTGGATTGCCATTCCAAGTTAAAACCTTTGATGCACAAAACAAGTATTGGCATAAAATATATTTTGAAATCTTAAGCGTTATAAATTTGTACATATTTTGGTTGTTACAGTAGACACGGGGAAATATAACATGACCTGATATCACGATATGAAGAGCAAAATGGCACTCGTCTTCTATACACCAATTCTCCTACATAACACTGTTACACTCAGTAACAACAAAACACATTCATGATCAACATTGGGACACGCTGCTAGGTGTGCACGGCCGAATTTATTTCCATGTCACATTCAAATTCAGTTTACACTGACAAATATTTCACCCAGACTAGGTACAATACATGTTAAACTTAGCAGTCCGTTGCTGAAGCCCGACACGTAAAACCAGAGATAAACCTTCATGAAGAAAAACTCTGGAACCGTGTTCCCTCAACGTATGCAACAGCAACCTGTACTGGAGGGTCTACAGCAGACTATGTTCACCTTAGATATAAGGTACCTTACATGTGTTGGAATAAACCTTAGAAAACATTCATATTTTGATAATGTAAATAAACAGGACAATGTGATAACATCACCATTACTTATATATAGAGTCCGTGTTTAATAAATACTTCACTCTGTTACAGCAGTTTAATGACTCTTCAACCAACAGTAAAACACCAATCCTTAAAGTAACTGTATTATAATGGCTCTTCAGCCTCAAAGGGATATACAAATAGAGATGAATATATCGGTCATTATATCTGACGTCAGTTATTATAAAGGCTCTTCAGCCAGCAACATATACAAAACACCATACGCTTAGATGCATGAATAGAAGTATTATAACGGCTCTTCAGCCTAACAGTATATACAAACATTGTATTTGCTTCATCTCAATATATGAATAGAAGTATTATAACGGCTCTTCAGCCTAACATATATACAAATATATTGTAACTCCGTCATTTCAAATTATGAATAGATGTATTATAACGGCTCTTCAGCCCAACAATTCTACACTACATCAATGTACAAATCAGTTCATTCCAGTATACAAACTTGGAGTATTATCATGGCTCTCCAGCCGGGATGCAGCCATATAACCTGCACACCTAATATGTCTCCTGACAGTAACCAACACCTGCAACATATGAACATAGTTTCATTATGAATACATAACTATTGGGAATTAAAGAAAATCTATATATATATATATATATCTTTACAGTAAAGCAATACGTTAGAGTCCATCATAAAGCGGCCGTGGTGTACTTTCAGCGAGAATGACCAATTCAAATTAAGTAACCCTTATATATCCTTAACAGCGCCACCCCACGGGCAAGTAACTCTCGTTACACACCGCTAGGAGAAAACAATTTCCTACTAATTCATCCTTCAAACGTAGGAAATATAATTGTATTTGAGTATCGCAGATTATAAAGAAACAGAAATGTCTATCAAATCAATCTTAGTTAGACTTGTGAATATTTCCATGACTGCCCTTTTACCTTTGAGTTGTTAATCACTGATGCATTTGGCGAGTTAACCTTATTGCCAAAAAAATATCCCAAATATGTATATGAGCTAACCGTCGTAAACTGATAATATGTCACAACAACACTCTCCATCATGATAATAACTGACGACAATACATCCATCATGATAATATCTGACGACAACACTATCCATTATGAAAATATCTGACAACAAAAAATCACATCATGATATTATCTGATGACAAAAATTTCCGTCATGATATCTCACGACAAAACTTTCCATCATGATAATACTTCACGACAACACTTTCCATCATGATAATATCTCACGATAAAAGATTCCATCATGATGATATCTCACGACAAAAGATTCATCATGATAATACCTCACGTCAATACTTTCCATCGTGATAATATCTCACTTCAACTCTTTCCATCATGATAATATCTCACGTCAATACTTTCCACCATGGACCGCCGCCATATAGCTGGAATATTGCTGAGTGCGGCGTAAAACTAAACTCACTCACTCACTCACTCACTTTCCACCATGATAATATCTCACCTCACGACTTTCCATCATGATAAAATCCTACGGCAATACTTTCCATCATGATAATATCTCACGGCAATACTTTCCTTCATGATAATATCTCACGGCAATACTTTCCAGCATGATAATATCTCACGGCAATACTTTCCATCATGATAATATCTCACGGCAATACTTTCCATCATGATAATATCTCACGGCAATACTTTCCAGCATGATAATATCTCACTTCACGACTTTCCAGCATGATAATATCTCACGGCAATACTTTCCATCATGATAATATCTCACTTCACGACTTTCCAGCATGATAATATCTCACGGCAATACTTTCCAGCATGATAATATCTCACGGCAATACTTTCCATCATGATAATATCTCACGGCAATACTTTCCATCATGATAATATCTCACGGCAATACTTTCCTTCATGATAATATCTCACGGCAATACTTTCCCATCATGATATGATAATATCTCACGGCAATACTTTCCAGCATGATAATATCTCACGGCAATACTTTCCAGCATGATAATATCTCACGGCAATACTTTCCAGCATGATAATATCTCACGGCAATACTTTCCAGCATGATAATATCTCACGGCAATACTTTCCATCATGATAATATCTCACGGCAATACTTTCCATCATGATAATATCTCACGGCAATACTTTCCATCATGATAATATCTCACGGCAATACTTTCCATCATGATAATATCTCACTTCACGACTTTCCATCATGATAATATCTCACTTCACGACTTTCCATCATGATAATATCTCACGGCAATACTTTCCAGCATGATAATATCTCACGGCAATACTTTCCATCATGATAATATCTCACGGCAATACTTTCCATCATGATAATATCTCACGGCAATACTTTCCATCATGATAATATCTCACGGCAATACTTTCCAGCATGATAATATCTCACGGCAATACTTTCCAGCATGATAATATCTCACGGCAATACTTTCCATCATGATAATATCTCACGGCAATACTTTCCAGCATGATAATATCTCACTTCACGACTTTCCATCATGATAATATCTCACGACAATACTTTCCATCATGATAATATCTCACGGCAATACTTTCCATCATGATAATATCTCACGGCAATACTTTCCTTCATGATAATATCTCACGGCAATACTTTCCAGCATGATAATATCTCACGGCAATACTTTCCATCATGATAATATCTCACGGCAATACTTTCCAGCATGATAATATCTCACGGCACGACTTTCCATCATGATAATATCTCACGGCAATACTTTCCAGCATGATAATATCTCACGGCAATACTTTCCTTCATGATAATATCTCACGGCAATACTTTCCATCATGATAATATCTCACGGCAATACTTTCCAGCATGATAATATAATATCTCCACCGCAATACTTTCCAGCATGATAATATCTCACGGCAATACTTTCCATCATGATAATATCTCACTTCACGACTTTCCAGCATGATAATATCTCACGGCAATACTTTCCATCGTTGTAATTTTTCAAGACACCTGGTGAATAAATAGCTGCACAACCAAAGAAATCAGTGCGGGAACTATTACATTTCACGCAAGCCTTTACAGATGCATAAATATTCTTTGGGGCTCTTAACATTTTACCATGAAAACCTACTGATATCAAGCATTTCCACCCATAGAAGCGCATAGACCAAACATAGGAAAATGTATTAAACGTACTTATAAGTGTACAATAAACAACAACCTTGACATAATTAACGGGATTCAATCATAGGAATTGTCTAAATGACGATTGCTGTCAAAATATTTCGAAATGAACTGATGTAAACGCCTATGCGTTTTTTGAAGACTGTATTGTTCGTAGTTCTTGCTCTTGATGAATTATCAACTTCTGTTTAAGGGTTTTGCAGTTTTTGCTTGCATGTATATTTAAATTTTGATTATGTAAACAGTGCTATAAATACTTCTCATTTTACGGTACATGAGTGTCCTGGATTGACCTGTTCCGCCTAACCTGCTTTAAATGACGTCGAGCAGCGTCGTGCCAGGTACGGTCATTGTTATAAAAAACCTAATGGGGTCTTATTAAGGTGTCGTCTCAGGACGCCAGCCTGCGGTTTCCTTTGGAGGTTAGGTTCTGATTAGGCGTAATTAGGGTTGCGGATAATCTACTCTAGATGTTTTGATAAGGTGGACTCGTCGCACTAGGTGAACATATCACAGCTCACATGTCCCTTACAATTGATTGAAAAGTTTACAATAACAATTACATGTAGTAGGATGCTAATATTGGACACTGTTCATATCTTTGGTATAAATATGGCCAACGGATTCACATTCGATTTCGAAATGGCAAATGCACAGTTAGATCAGAGATTCATCCCTACAGCTCACGGCATCGTTACTTGGTTGTTGGCAGGTTCATGTACAGAGTCAACAAGAGAAAACAAGACTGGATATCTTGGATATGTACTGTTAAATATTGCAAATCCACTGCATCAACAACGAATGACAACGAATGTGTGCTATATGTATCATGAATAGGCATCGGGTATGCGATGTATGTATTGAAAATGTCATATATTTACTTATGTGAATCATTAAAATCTGTCTAACTGAGTTTCTTGATGGGTGCTTCAAGTAAACTGATAAGCGGATAAAATATGAACTGTTGTCGTCTTCTCATTAGGTGTGCTCTCATCCGCATAATTCGGATTATTCTCTTCTAACAACTCGTTGATCCTTCATGTAACCGGGTTTTCTTGGCTTTATCTATTATTTTATACAGATGACACCAAGACAGCTACGGGGTGTGAGGCTTACGTTTATTATATACGATAGTCACCCTGTAATAAGAAACAACAGATAATATAGTATATGCATATTAAACATAATATAATATTATATATCATATCATCATCAAAGCAATACAATCATTTCTGTTACATTACTTACAACTATGTATTATTAGATGATACGATAGAAATGCTTACAGTACATATTAAGTAAAATGGTTACACATACCCCATGTGTGGCACAAGGGTGAAAAACGTGATACCCTTGAAATGTCACCATTCATGATATGTCCTGCAGAAGAAAGAGCAGGAATAAATACTTAGAGTGACTAAATACACCGAATAACAAAATGCACAGCTTATGCAATTCCATTAATGTAGATATACTAGTAACTTAGCATGTATACAAGATAATATTAAAATACAGTATTGCTTTTAGGTTTAAAGTTCAGCCTCTAAACCACATTCATTTCAAAACATTAATAGAAATATATAATTCAATGTAAATATAATTACTTCTTAGATGCTTATTTATAATGCATAATCTTTGATTACTATTTAATCCTATTTAGAAATAAAGATGAATTATAAACTAACCTTTTGTGGTGATCTGTGAATACTCCCAGTGCAGTGCATAGTGAAATGGCAATATGGAGTTAGTCAGAGCAAGAAGGTAAAGTTTAAATTTGGCCAATCACAGGATCGCTTGGGGTGTGATTGATCAGCAGAGGGCTGGACAAAGAATGTAGTGGAGCTTGGGTTGTGATTGATCACTGAGGCCTGGGCTTAGAATGACAAAAACACACACCTCTGTTGAATAAAGTTCAACAGAAACAAAACTTGAAATATATTTATTTACAAAAATAAGACTAAAATACAAATATATACACCTGCTACACACTTCCCCCCGGGATGAAAATGATGTCCTCATCATTTGCCTAAAACAAGGGAGAGAAATGCATTCTGTACATCAGTACTGTCGTTGGCGAGCATTCCAGCGTTGATAAGAGAACTGAGATACTCAGCTCTGATCTTCCAGTCGGGATGTGGAACTGCAGACATTACATACTCACCGCTAGACATCCACCGTGGCTGTGTCCGAGTCCTCCCTGATCTTCTGGGTTGCTGTGCGGCACATCTTCAACTGACTCAGGATCATCTTCCACATTGGCAGGTTCTTCTGGGGCTGCACCAGGATCTGCGTCAGTGGTCTCCACATCTGATGTCTCTCTGCAGCAGGATCAGCCTCAGCTGAAATATCTTCAGGCTGATCTGGCTGGCTCCCCAACTGCGTCTCCAACTAAATCGTCTTCGTCCAATGCAAAGTCTTCAACTTCTGCTCTAGCCTCAGTTGGCCTATCAGCTATATCCGCAGCTGACACTGACGGCTCAGACGATGGGAAATATATGTCTGACTCGTCATCCTCTGGTTCCTCGACTGGAACAGCAAGTCTCTTTGATCTTCTTGGTTTCGGGATAGGTCTCGGTGGCTCTGGTGCTAGTGAATCCGGTACAGGGGAGTGCACCAATGGGAAGTAGAAGATTCCGGTGTAAAACCCTCTTCCTACCTTCACCATTCTCCTTTCCGACCACATAGACAGGGATGGAGGGGTTCGGTTGACGAAGAACTGTATAAATGTCACCTTCCCATCTGTCTGCTAGTTTGTGTCTTCCCTCAAAGGCGACGGTTTTAACCAGAACTCGGTCACCAGTCTCTATAATTGCTGCTCTTGCCTTCTTATCAAAGTAGGTCTTCTGATCCTGCTGTGCCTCCTTGCTGTTCTGTGAAGCTAGATGATATGCCTCTTGGAGTCGATCTCTTAATGACTTTGTGTACTGCTGCAGTGACTTGGGCTTGCTTGGCTGGATGTCAAGTCCAAATGCTAGATCCACTGGAAGTCTTGGGTGACGCCCAAACATAAGGAAGAAGGGGGAATGTCCGGTAGACTCATGCCGAATGCAATTGTATGCATGGACTAAGGGTCCAACATGAGCCTTCCAGTCCCTCTTGGCGTCTGGTTCCAGAGTCCCCAACATATCACATAGGGTCCGGTTGAAGCGTTCACACATCCCATTACCCATGGGATGGTAGGGTGTTGTGGACGACCTATTGATCCCAAGAAGCAGGCACAGCTCTGACATCAGCTTACCAACAAAATTGGCTCCTTTGTCGGAATGAATCCTCTTGGGCAGACCGTAATGGATGATAAAGTTGTTGAAAAAACAAGTCTGCTGTCGTCTTGGCTGATGTATTCCGACAAGGATAGGCTTGAGCGTACCGGGTGAAATGGTCAGTAATGACCAACACATACTGTTGACCACCCTTGGACGGCTCCAGAGTCAAGAAGTCCATGCAGACCAGTTCCATAGGCTGCAACGTCTGGATGCTCACCAAAGGGGCTCTGATGGATGTGTTTCCCTTCCTTTTCAGACACCTCTCACATATCTTCAGGTAGTCATCTACATCCTTGGTCATACCAGGCCAGTAGAAACGTTCCTTGAGTAGGGATAAGGTCCGATCTCTGCCCCTGATGTCCTACACGATCATGCAAGCTTCTGAGTGCTGAAATCCTACATCTGGAAGGTAGCACTAGCTGTTCTTGATCACATCCATCCATGCTGGTGACTCTATATAACACACCTTCCCTCAAAGTCAAATGTGCAAATGTCTTCAATAAAGTAGTCATCTCTGGGTCTCCTTGGAACTGAGTTCTGTCAGGTCTCGTGGCATTCTCCAGATGCTCCATGATAACAGCAAGGGATGTGTCCTTCAGCTGAGCACGGCGCCAATCCTTTGCGTTGGCAGCACACACATGGTCACTTACATCTGCTTCAATTCCTGGAACCACTTCTGTAGACAAGCACAAACTCTCAACAAGATTAGGTGCACAAATTTTGTTACAAATAGCACTCACCACATCACGAGACAGGTCTTCCATCTGGACTGGGTCTTTGCTGGGCAAACGAGACAACACATCAGCATCAACGTTGTTCTTCCCTGGTCGGTACTTGATGGTAAAGTTGTAACTTGCTAGAGCAGCTAACCACCGATGTCCTGTAGCGTCCAGACGTGCTGTAGTAAGTACATACGTCAGGGGATTATTGTCGGTCATTACTACGAAATCATTGCCATACAAATAGTCGTGAAATTTCTCTCTGAAACGGCCCATTTCAGACACAAAAACTCGAGTTTATGCGCTGAATAGTTCCGTTCAGATCGATTCAAACCCCTACTTGCATAGGCAATAACTCGTAGGTGACCATCATACTCCTGGTATAAGACTGCTCCTAGGCCATGGGTACTAGCATCAGTGTGCAGCTCGAAAGGTCTTGAAAAGTCAGCAAACCCAAGGACTGGAGGTGATGAAAGTCTGTTCTTCAACTCCTGGAAAGCTTCTTCTTGAGCAGGACCCCAGTTCCAAGCAGTTTGGGATGTCTTAGACCTCGACTTCTTGGTGGCACACTTCGGCATAAGTTCTGAAAGGGGTCTGGCGATCTTAGAGAAGTCCTGGACGAATTTCCGATAGTATCCAGCAAATCCCAAGAATTTCCGGATGTCTTCTGGAGTAGATGGTGTTGGCCAGTGCTGAATCTTGTCTATCTTCTCTGGATCAGCTTCAACCCTCAGCAGACACAATATATCCAACATTACCTCACCTTTCTCTTAAAGAACTTGCATTTCTGTGGGGCGAGCTTCAATCCACATTCTTGTAATCTTCTAAAGACGAGCTCCAGCCTCTCCACATGCTCCTCGTATGTCCGGGAAAATATGATGAGGTCATCTATGTATATAAGGCAGATCTTCAAGTTGAGTCCCTCTAGGCACTTCTCCATAAGGCGCTGATAGGTCGCTGGGGCGTTTGACAAGCCGAACGGCATCCTGTTGTACTCGAAAAATCCGGAGTGGACCTACAGTAAAGCCGTTCCTCTCCTTGTGGTCATCATCTATCTCAACTTGGTAATAGCCGCTCTTCATATCCAGCACTGAGTAGAACTTGTTCCCTCCGAGACAATCTAAAAGTTCTTCAATTCCGGGAGAGCATAACTGTCCTTAATTGTCCGGTTGTTCAGCTGGCGAAAATCTATACATAGACGTTAACGGCCATCTTTGCGCTTGGCTAACACAACGTTGGAAGCCCATGGACTATGAGAGAGTGTCTAATCACACCAGAGGACAACAGTTCTTGAAGATGACTCGAACCTGATCATAAATTGCTGGTGGTATACGCCGATGTCTCTGCTTGAAGGGCACGTCATCATAGAGTTCTATCCGATGCTTGACCATGTTGGAATGTCCAAGATCTTTATCATGTTTAGAGAAGATGTCACCATATCTCCTAATAACCTCCAGTCCCTGTGCAGCTTCATCATGTGTAAGTCCATCTTCCTCCAACTCAATGTCGTCAATCCACTTCTCAGAGTCTGAACATCTCATGTCTGGTAGGTCTTCTATTGTCACAGGTTGAAGTTCACACAGCAGAGCCTTAGTTGGAACAATCATGGTCTGGGTAGTAACATTAGACACATGAACTTGTATCTCATCTGGTCTGTCATGGCAGTATCTCACAACGACTGGTATGATGTCTAAGTCCTTAGAAATAGTAGAGTCTACAGTTGGCTGTATAAGGGCACACACTTGTGGATATGGAATCCCTTTGCACAGTTGTCCACGGATGATGGCAAAACCATTAGCAGGTATGATTACAGGCTTATATTCAATGGATCTAACAAAGCCCAACTTCCCACCATTCTTCTCTAACTCCTTCTCTCGAAGCATCATACATCTAAAGGCCAGGTACCAAGGTGTGTAGAGGTTGGCCGTCTGAAGGAATCGGATTCCATTAACCTTTCTGCAGGCATCCAAAAGCACTCCAAGAACATTAGTCCCAAGAAGAGCAGGAACTTTGGCATTATAGCTGGTGTCAGGCACAACAAGTAACAAACAAGTGATGTCATCTTGGTCATCACAACCATCACCAATACCCTTGACCTTAACCTCAATGTAACCAGAGTAAGGTAATGAGTTTCCGCCTGCACATTCAATATTAAGAAGGCTATCTACTGAATGTATGGGAATATGAGTGAGATACCTATCATAAAAAGAGCTAGACACAATAGACACTGTGGCACCTGTGTCCACTAACGCCCTAACCGGAATATTCTCAATAAGTATATCTACCTCATTTGAATTCCCAACTAAGTCAGTGTGTGCGAATACACGAGGGCTAGATGTAGCACCTACGGGCGCCCCCGGGCCATAGGCGTGGCCGAGTTTAAAGGCCTCTTAAGATGGTCAAGACGTACACGACAACCATAATACAAATGTCCGGGATAGCCACACCTGAAACACACAGGCTCATGATCCGATGCTTGTCCTGGTGTGAGAGATCTGTTGTCGTTAGCTCCAGCCCCAGGTTGATAGAAATAGGAAGGGGGCAGCGGCATTCCTTCCCTCGGGAGATGGAGCAGGATACTTGCTGGATCGAGGATCATACATAGCTGGCTGATATCCTCGTCCTCCCCGTCCGCGACCTCTTGTTCTCGATGGCTCTCTCCCATACTGCTGTCCGTGGGTGGTAGAACCAAAGGGAGATTGTTGCTGGTACACTTGGGCTGACAGCTGCTGATGTTGGTCACGTAGGTCGCATACACTCGTGGTCAGATCCTTGATCATCCCCTTCAGCTCAGCGATGTCATCAGGCTTAGAGACGGGCTGGTTACTGGCCATGTTGACGGATGCGGGCTTCGACTTAGACTTCTGGATATCTGATCTGGCTCGGTTCTGTTCAAA